ACCTAAGCGAAAGTCGGACGCTTAACCGACTAAGCCACCCAGGCGCCCCCCAGTTCGATTTCTTGCTTGTCATTCATGGCCTTGATGAACTTGGACATCCGCATGGGTGGCAAGAGGAAGCACACTTCACAGGACGAGAGAAAAGGGGTCAGAGCCAGCAGCGCTCCCTGCAGAGCTTGACAGTGGGGGATAAGCAGAGCGAGCAGGTGAGGGGGCCTCTCCTACTAAGCTGCTCACTGGCCTGAGCTCCAAGTGTTCATGTCACTTTCCCAACATTGCAGAGCCTCCGCCCTTTATAAATTACACCCCAGTGCAACCCTTAATGGAAAGGCCGGGAGCCCAGTGCCACAGTGGTCTGCAAAGCTGAGGTATATGCACATTCCTATACTTTTCTTCTTTTTTTTTCTTTCAGTCACATCTGCGTTTTGTTTTCTCTCATTTCAAATGTTTCCCAACACATCATGTTTAGTGAGGTGTTTAAGACAGACTGAGAGATGCCGTTGGAGGCAATGTTTTACAGCACAGTTTGTACACTAGTTTATTGCCAAATTAAAATAAAGCTGTAATCTGGCAGACTCAGCCTGCTGCTAAGGCTTCCTTGGGTGCTTTCCTGCAATGAGGCAAGCAAGTGAGGGCAAACTAACGAGGAAGTGAAGAACTCACTCTCTGCTTTCCGGCACCAGCTCCATTTCCAAAGGCAAAGAAACAAACACAAACAAACAAACAAACAAAAAAACGTACGGAATGTTTGCTTTGCCTGCTGCTTAATTACTGAAATAAAAAAAATAAATAAGTAAAGGAAAGCAAGGATTTGGTGCTCCTATATGAAATGCTGTGGGTTCTTTGTGGCGTCCCTGCTGTTTTGTAAGAATTCTTACCAGTGGGACTTCATGAGGCCAGTACCCCCCTGTCCATTTGACATGAAATTTCAGGGCTTTCCAAAGGCACATCTTCACATAGACCCATGATAAGCCAAGGAGGCTAACCTCCCTGTCTATACTGTATAAGGCTCCGGACAGGGTTCCGTAAGTAGCCAGGGTACTTCAGGACTTCAAAGGAAAAAAGGCTCTGGTTTCCCACTTCAGTCATTCCTGTGGTGCTTTGAGAGCCACATACCCTTTCAAGAAAGCTTTTACTTCTTGGCAACCATCTAGACATTGAATATCATAGTCAGAGTTCTCTCAGAAAAAAAGACGAAACATCAGAAGTCCTGATTTTATGAATTCTGAGGGCATTTGTCCGTACACATTTGTCCCTGATTAAAAGTTATTTTATTTATTAAAATTGTTTTAAATGTTCATTTCTTTTAGAGAGAGCGAAAGAGTGGAGTAGGGACGGGGGGGGGGGACAGAAGATCTGAAGTGGGCTCTGTGCTGACAGCACAGAGCCTGATGAGGGCTCGAACTCATGAACTCTGAGATCATGACCTGAGCTGAAGTTGGATGCTTAACTGACTGAGACACTCAGACTCCCCTAAAAGCTATTTTTTAAAAATAAATCTGATTTCCTATGGAACTGATGGCCAGTCAAACTCTGTCTTGGGCCAGAAAGGACAATCTGCTCCACAAAACTCTTTGAGTCCTTTAAAATGCTCATTATCAGAAATCCTCCACCGGGTACGGAGGCACACAAGAGGAGACGCAGGCAGAGCGGAACACTGTGGCCCATGGGGCTCTGTCCCGCAAGCCAGAACTCCAGGCCTCAAAAGTCTCCTGCGCTGAAGGAGAGAAAAGGCAATGGCAGGGAAATAAGGGGACAATAAAGGTGGCGAAAGAGGGAGAGTATGTACTCAAAAGAGGGAGTGTGTGCCTGAGACAACAATGAGGACAGGAGACCCAGAAGAGCGGAGAGAGGAGGGCTCCATTCACAGGTGAGTTCTGAAGGAGTGGCCACCTGAAGAAGATCCTTTTCAAGAGACAGCACCTTTTGCTTGAGGATTCTCTTCACCGTAGGCTGGTGTGGAAAAGCCTCCAACGGGGCAGAGACTAGTGGTGGGGCTGAGGTCTTCACTGGGAGTTCTGCCACAGCAGCAATAGTAGTTGTCTCAGGAAAATGGATAGGCAATCCTTTCATGAAAGAAGAAATGTTCTTTTCCTGGGCAGATCCTTTTCTTGGGCAGATGCAGTCACTGGCCTGCCAATACCAGCACAGGGCTCTCTGTGGTGCTCAGGACTGCATCTCATCAAGGCTAAAAGCCCCATGAGTCACGGGTGTTTGTCGGCTCTTATTTCCATGTCTCTGACCCACTTGAGTGGCCACAGACCATCTCCATTTGACTTCCAGCCAACTGCGTCGGCCAACAGTTCATCTGATGGCTGCAGCTCACTCCCCTCCCAGCCAACATCCCACTCCTCATTCTGTGATTCAAGCCCTAAGATATGGAATACTCTATCCCCTACTCATCTTAGAAGGCTATCTATGATTTTTTTTTTTCTTGGATGACTTCTCCTTCATTCTCTCTAGGGAGAAAGTTTGGTTTCTTTCTGCCTACCTGCTAATCTCAAGATGGCACAGTCAAGAATGAGAATGCTACTAAATTTCATGTAAGTCTTTATTCCATTCACTGAACTTTGACATGCAATACCAATGAGTTGTTTTTCCCTTTGGGAAAATTCATTAACTTCTCCTATTTTTGGTTTATTGGCTACATACCAGCAAAGACTTTTAGGGCTTCTTCCAGCTCTAAAATGATAGAATTCATTTGGTCCATGGTCACAGAAGATATTTTTGGTCTAGACCAGGACTACTGTGATATAATGATAACTGGTCTTCTTGCTTTTGACCTCATATTACCCTAGTTCATCCTAACTTTGCTACCAGATTAACCTTTGTAGAACACATTATCCCACTGACCAAATTTTTCAAAAGGGTCCTAATTACAAAAACAAAGATTATTTTGCCTAGAAGTCAGGCAGTCAAAACAGCAAGAAGCAGTCAAGATCAGATTCCAAAAATATATACAGAATGAACTTCACCAAATTTCAGTTTTGGTCAAATGGACACATTCCCACCAACCCTGCAAACACTTTTTCTAACTTTATATCACTGCATATGACATTCCTCGTGTGTAAAGTGTGATCCTCCAAACAGAAGTATGACACATTTTCTTTAAGGTCAAGGTGAAATCCATCTCCTGAACTTTGGGCTACCAATTTCTTATAATCTGTGCAGCTACTTCAACTGGGTATCTATTATGTGTGAATGAGGGTACTGCCTTTTTGACCTTGCTTAGACTATTGGTGAACCCATGTACATTTATTTTCTCTTCCCACATGGACTGAATGTTCCTTGACAAAGTGATTTCAACCAACACTGCCTCATGATGAGCATCTACAAGAGAGCTGGACTCTAATATATTTTTGTCAATCTCACTAGAAGTGCACCTGCAAGTATACTTACCTGTTCAAACACATGTTAAGGCAAAGACCAACACCAAGTACCATTCAGCAAGTACTGTGGCTGAGTTGGGGCTACAATTCAGATGTCCTCACTCCTCCACGGTTCTCTACTCTGCCACAGTGACTGTGGGAGGCACTGTTTGGAGTGCTGGGACATGAAGGGTTACATATCTGGGCATCTCCTCCAGCGCAACTCCAGAGATGCTTAGTTTCCACTTAGCCAGGTGAATCTGGTCCACACTGTGCCTCTGGCATCAGGGGGAAAATTAACCAACTGTCAAAGAAAATACAATAAACCCAGTGGATTAAATGACTAATGCTCTGTGTCCCGAGCTGTTCGGCCTCGCCTCTGGTAACTGCACCATCTTGGACCAGATGCACTGTGGCTTGACTCCAGGAATGAAATTGTACATTCTGCTGAAGGGGTAGCCAGGCTGCTCAAGAGGAAAAAAATACTAATTGCAAATCTTTTCTATTTTTAGGCTCAATGTGCATTTTGTTTGGCAGTAAGGGCAGCATGAATAAAACTCCAATCCTAAGAATTTTAATTTGCTTCCTCCAAAATGCCCGAGTCACTACAGATCTTGGAAGGTTGCATCTACCCCTTCCCTGCCTTCAGGAAGAACCCCGCACATCTATATCTGCGCAACAGAAAAAAAAACCCAAACACTAGAATGATCTCCTCACTCGCAGAAGTTCAGTATTTCTTTAAATATATGTAATTTCTAGCACAAGATTCCTATAAAAAGAATTAGCAAAATAACTTCACTGAATAATTCACTTCACAAGTAGCATTGCAATATTTCACCTATTTTCCCACTGTTTTTTGTAACTAGAGTCTCCTATTTGCCCGTGAATCTTTTGTTTCTTTAATTGTATCTGCTGTTGCTCACCTTATATTCTACCTGAAAATGTAAATTTCTTAAAAGTGGGGGCTAAAGGTAGTTTACGGTGTATCTGTAGTATATAGTACATATCACATAAAATATATACACATCTCTTTCTCTCTCTCTCATACACACACACACACACACACACACACACTAGCACAACCTCATTCAATGCTCTTAAAAAGCAGACCTCTCCTTCAACACAACCACCAAGAGAAGACAGAGTTCTCTTGTCAGAGTGAGATGACTTGGTTCTGAATAATGTCCTCTATGAACATTATTACTACTCCTCTGGCCATTTCTCTTACTGTTTTAGCAAATCACTAGTGTTCTTCACTTTTTCAGAGTTTTCCTTCCCAATAAGGTTCTGAAAAAAAGTTATGGGCCCTTAATCCAGAAGAATGATCACATTCCCACATGCACAAAACACTGTCTCAAATCCCATGGGTGTCAGGAGCCTCTGATGGCCTGCAGCGTCTATTAGGAACTGCTTCTCCACCCTGTCTTCTTTAGCGTCAGGTTTTTTCCTTGTAGGTTATTTCAGATGTTTACACAGCTCAAGAAAGAACCCTGAAATCATCCTTGCTGCTCCTGACCCCCTGATTCAGAGTTCAGGCTATTGCACAGTGGAAGAAACATAGAGACAATGAACTAGCGGTCTGTTCCCTGGAAAACCATGCAGTGTTGTCTCAAACGAGGTAATCACGCTCACCTTTTGGTCTTGGCTGTAGGCCAGAATCCAGTCCTCTTGCTTGGGGTGGAAAAGCAAGCTCTGAATGTAAAAGTTCAGCCGGTACTTCTGATAGGTAGCCCCTTCATCTGAGCTGATCAGTAAACTGCTCTCAATCTCTGGGTCTGTGAGTAACATGATCTGCAGCCAAGAATTGTTGGGGAAAGAAGACAGCAAAAAGTTAAGTTTCCAAACTTACAAAACTTAGAAAGAAGCTAGCATTTTGGTAAGAGAGCAAAGAGGAGCAAATAATGCTTGGCTAAACAAGGACATTGGCTCTGTCGGTCTGTTCTCCTGGACCAAAGCCATGAAACCATTTTCTTTCTTTTTTTTTTTTTTTAATATTTTTTTAAAATTTTTTTAATGTTTTATTTATTTCTAGGAGAGAGAGAGAGACAGCGCGAGCAGGGGAGGGCCAGAGAGAGGGGGACACAGACTCTGAAACAGGCTCCAGGCTCTGAGCTGGCATCAGCACAGAGCCCGACGTGGGGCTCAAACCCACAAACCGCGAGATCATGACCTAAATGAAAGTCGGACGCTTAACCGACTAAGCCACCCAGGCGCCCCGCCATTAAACCATTTTCACTAAAAAGTCAGAAGCAGGCATGCTGGAAGGAAGAGAGAGAAAAGAGTGAAGCTCATTTTATTTTCTTCTATGGGTCCCCTTGTATTATCTCAAGGTTATTTCCTTAATCTGAAATATGTCGTACTGCTCCCCTAACCTCAGTCCCCTTTGCTAGTGGGCCGTGTGTACTTTGCATTTAGAGGGAATAAAAGAGGCAGGCTTGTCACAGTCTGCTGTGGGTAAGGTGGAAAGAAATAGAAAGAGGAGGGGGCCCATTGTTTTTTCTCTCTTATCATAAGCCCTCTTGTTCACACAACAATATCCCATGTCCTCCTGCCTTTAATCTGATTTTCTGAGTCTTGGCTCAGAGGCTAAGCTTTCTAAAGCCCCCTCTAGAAATTGCATAAGGCCACATTTTATCACCTTTAGACCTATTTTATAATTTGCTGATTTATTTTGCTTATCATCTACAGACTCCCTATTAGTACATCAACTCCATGAGAACAGGGATCTTTGATAATCCTCTCTTTTTCACCCCCACAAGTATACTCCCGGTAGCTAGGGTAAGGCCCGGCATATTTTCTATACTCAGTAAGTACTTTCCAAATGAATCGATGGATGAATGAAAAGAGTTTTCAGAGCAGTCATGCGGAACTAGAAAGACGCCCAGAATAGTCTGAGCAGATATGAATATAAGTGCCAAGGAAGGAGTAGTTGGATGTTCTCAATCTTTAGCCTACTGACCCAGAAATATGCTTACATATGTAAACCTTCAGCTTCAGACGCTTTGTACTTTCTTGTCAGGATGGTTAACCATGGCCAGAGCAGTGTGAACAATCCACAGTAGGAACAAGATGGAGGGGCTGCCCTAAAACTGCTTTTTATTCTCTCGTTTTATGCCACTAGGAATGTGTAATAAAGTGCCCCATTCCCGACTCCCTGCAGGTCTCCTTTCACTCAGTCAAAGTGAGCACCTAATGCCTCTGGACAGGTGGCCTTAATGTTACCCATTAACTTCTTCCCCATCAACTTATTAATTGGCACTTTCCGAGTTTGGTTCAGAGAAGCATGAAAGATGTGCTTAGTGTGTGTCTGTATGAAGAGAAATCACTGCAGCCCAGGGTTTAAAGACTGGCAGGTGAGGATGCGGCAGTTCTAGGAAAAGAGAAAGGAAAGAAAAAAAAAAACATAGAGTCATGTCATAAAAGATCTGCAGACCAGACAAATACATGGGGATTTCTCAAGCATTTGGAGGCAATCATATTAAAACCTCAGAATAGTTAGTGTCATCTTTGAAAGTGGTGTCCTGTCACTGCAAATGGCACATGAACATCGCACACCAGACACACTCAGCCTGAACTGTGTTTATGTAACCCCGGATGAATTTAAGCTTCCTTGCTATTCCTTCAGCCTGCTCTTCTGGAAGAGGAAAAAGGGATGTGGCAGAGAAAGCGGGATGCTGTGGCTGTCAGCCACACTCTGCACAAGATGAAAAGCACACACAAAACTGGAGGCTAATTGCCTCATTCCATGTTCCAGGGATGCCACTGTCCATCAACCAACAGTTCTGACAAAGTTACACAGGCTTCTCTGTCTCTCACTCACCAAGCAGACAGGGTTCCCTCATTGGATGGCTGAGACAGAACTGCCAGATAATCTACTAAGTACAGGTCACGTGACTTCATTAAACTCTATCGTATGAATTAAGAAAGGGCATTCAGATGGTTCCTAAACTCACAGGAATACTTGCAGCTGATTTCGTATTTATTGGCACATAAAAGCTGTCATTTTCCAAATAACAAATAAGTCGTCAAACGATCACAATGCTTTGTGTCTCCAACCACAGTTGACAATAATATATAACTAATATATAATACCTTTCGGCATTAGTGCCAGAAAGTAATTTCCATGATAGTACAAAGAGGTTCGATTATATAGAGCATCCATTGTCTCAGGCAAGGTGATTTTTTTTTTTCTCCCTCCTCTGACTTTCTATTTCCCTGTTAACCAAAATATGTTTTCCTTCCTTCCCACGAGTGCGGACTCCACCACCTGCTTCTCCTGGCAGACTGCTTCATCAAAATAAAAACAGTAGGCCTCCAGAATATCTTCAAATCAAGCTGATTTTCATGTGTCGTCTAAAATATTTTTGATACTCACTTATGCTCTAAGTCATGAGACTATATGAGGTATTCACTTCCAGACAATATTGAATGAGGGGAGACTGAAAACCACAAGCATTTCAAACACATGGATAGTTAATACTGAATAAACAAAACTCCTGGCTCCCTTGGTTTTTATTCTGAGGGCTGAAAATAATGTAGACTCAAATCTCAGCTTCTCTCTACAGTCCTCACCTGAAACCCTCTATCTGAAAACCTGACATTTTGGAAACGATGGAAGATGTTAGGAAACTCCCCCGGTAAGATTTATAGGTGTATCTGCTTTACCCAAAACTTCCAGTGGTTCCTCTCTCAAACCTCTGCTCAGATCTAGGCAAAACAAACAGGTCAATCTGGATCCATTTTTATTTAGCCATTTTTTATTGCACAAACAACTTTGCAAGGCTGCCAGCAGAATTCAAGATAAAAGAAAAATAAATTGCTCATGACCCTATTCCTTCCACAAGTCAAACCATGTGTGTACTTTCCTCTACGTCTTTATTCACATCTATATATGATATCATGGCTGTATTGGGTTTTTTTTTCCATTTAATATTAGGGACTGTGTTCATTTCTAACAGAACCAGAAACATACAAATGCATATCCACACATGCGTATGTACCATTGTGTATAAAATATTTCAATTACTTAATCATAGCCTTCAACATAATTAGGTTACAATCAGTGCAGTGGTTGAATAGCAGTAAGTATGTAACAATTTACTGTTAACTGAATAAGTAGAATCTTATTATTTCAGTTTTTAAATTCAAATTTTTAAGTAATTTATTTCAAATGGGTTGAAGTTTACGGTGTCCTTTTGAAGGTTATTTAAAGTAATGTAATAAGTAAATAAATAATTTAAGCAACATCTAAATAGAAAATGTTTAACCTATTTGAGAAAAGGAAATAATGTGAAAATAAGTGTGATCCAGTCTTTAGACATAAATGATATCATTTATAAATAAAGTACTATCTTCTCAAAAAGGTGTTCTCCTAGGAAATATTATCAAAATAATGCCTTCACGTTAGTGAATACTCCTCAAAAATAATAGATTACACTTTAAGTTTTTTTTTTTTTTTTTTTGAGAGAGAGAGAGTACACACCTGTGCATATGAGTGGAGGAGGGGCAGAGAGAGAAAGGGAGACAGAATTCCAAGTAGGCTCCACTAAGTGACTGCAGACAGAGCCTGACATGGGGCTCAAACCCATGAACCGTGAGATCATGACCTGACCAAACACGAACCATGAGATCATGACCTGAGCTGGAATCAAGAGTCAGATGCTCAACAGACTGAGCCACCAGGGCACCCCAATAGATTATATTTCTTAAATATGTTCAATGATCCCTGATTTTGCTGGTTTATGCTGACTCTCTGGTCCCTTTTGGGTTTTGATGTTTAATTCTCTGTATTCTATAATATGATCATAATGAGAGAATTTTAGGAGGACTTTGTAAAAAGCATGAATCTAAACTTTACACTATTCCTCAAGTGAGCTCTCTAGTAAGAGGGGTCTTTGTTTGCCTGGCATAAAGCTTGGTCTATAGTAGGTCCATACATCTTTTTTTTATAGTTGTTTATTTATTTTTGAGACAGAGAGAGACAGAGTGTGAGTGGAGGAGGGACAGAGAGAGGGAGACCCAGAATCCGAAACAGGCTCCAGGCTCTGAGCTGCCAGCACAGAACTCAATGTGGGGCTCGAACCCACGAACCGTGAGATCATGACCTGAGCCAAAATCAGACGCTTAACCAACTGAGCCACCCAGGCACCCATGGTCCATACATCTTTTAAACAAACGAATGAACAAATCAGTGAGTAAATGAGTGAGTTCTTTTGATACCTGACTTTGGTTGAATGCAGTCCATAGACCCCAGGACACTGACAGTCTGAGTCCTCTCAAACAAATCCTTGCTCTTGTACTTGGAGGCAAGAAGGGTGGAGATGAGGGGAAGAGCCTGTCTTTAACAGGAGAGTAATTATTCTCTGTTCAGATCAGCCATGAGTGATTAGAACCAGCTTACGTATGCCTTGCAGGGTGTGCACACACACCATGCTCACCGCCTCTGTAGATGAATTCTTTTCCATAGAAAGTCAATAACGGGGTGACACAGGCTCCCGCCACCCAACCCTAAGCAATCATTCATCATCCACTTTGGGAGAAGGAAGAAACTTTATTTGCTTTTCCTGGAGGTGACAAATGAACACGAAATGCAATTTATAGATTTAAAATATGTCACTTCTCTCTTTTTTTGGTATTAGTCCTTCTGACAACTCAGTGTCATCAGAAATTAAATGCATCTTTACTCTTTTTGACTCGCTCCCGATTCAATATACGGCTACACGATATAATTCTACAAAAGTTTGCCTGGCAGCCTTCTGATTCTTCCAGGTGCCTACTGAGGACATTTCCCT